ATGAAACTGGGAAGTATTGAAGGAACGCAGTAAAATAAAATAGGTGTAATTTCCCGCAACGAAATAATCCAATAATTTATTTTAAATTAATACAATTCCCAAAAGTTGATAAACTACGAGTATCAACATTTAATCACCCTTTTTAGAGACAAAAGTAGTAGTTGTTAAAGTAGTTTTAGCTTTATTATATAAGACGATAAAGGAATATTTTAACCATTGAGTGAATTAACTTTCAGGAGATTGTTAGATTCCCTTTGTCGTCGTGTGTAAACCTTCTGACAATTCTGAATTTAATTTAGCAGTCAAATATGGCAAGCTTAGGTTCTGCCATCGCGGTCGTTTCTATAGAAACAGCATTGTTATATGTTCTGAACGTCATTTTATGTCGTGCTGCGCGTCCCATTTGAAATAAGAATGCATAATCATATGTCTCATTTTATCTAGTCTTGCGGTTAAAGTGATCACTGTATCTACCCTCACGGTTAAAGATCGGCTTAGCCTACATTCAAACCTATCAAAATGTCAATTTAACATCTGCTATAAAATAAAGAAAATTAATATTGGTAAAATCCCTTGAAGAGGAATTAGGTACGCACAAATTAAAGACTTGATTGATTTAAGAATAGATAAGTTAACATACCTAATTGGCCCATTGGCCCAATATCGCTATCTCTGTTCCAAGCGCTGCAGATTATCTCAGATCAGATATTGTCCCTGAATTCGCGTCAGCATTCCCTAAATGAATATATATGCCGAACAAATCAAAGTGAAATGGACAGGAACCAAGCTAATTAAAACTCTACCATGTAATTAAATGGGACTGTGAAATTTTTAACCTGAAAGTAAGTATCACAATGTAGGTAGTATCTAACATCTGCGGTAAAGCATACTCGTACGGGTTTTTTAGCGCATTTTTTAAGAATTAAAAAAAATGTGCTATTGTTTGCGTTTTGTCCGTCCGTTGGTCAGTCTGGACTCACTTCTGCCGTTTTGAACTACTTCTAGGGGAATGGTCCTAGAGTCCTGGAATTTTTTGCACTAGGTAGCCTATACCTTGAAGGTGTGTCAGACGGCCATCATGGCATTCTAATGAAAGGGCTCATCGAAAGAAATTGGTTTGTACAAACTATAACTTTTACATAAGACAACCAATTGGTCTCAGATTTTGCATACGCTTTAGTGGTACCAAGTTAAACGTTAGAAAATGGAGGGGGAGGCTAAACACATGGCATTCTAATGAAAGGGCTCATCGAAAGAAATTGGTTTGTACAAACTATAACTTTCCCGTGCGACTCTTTTTCGAGATCAGTGAGCGACGGGGGTTAAAAATTAATGTTATCTCTCATTGTATTCTAATTAAAGGTCTCAACGAAAGAAACCGTTTTCTCCCAACTACTGCCCTTTTTTCTGTCCTCTTATCAAAGAACGGGTTGGAGGGGGGGGGGGAACTAGTTCTATCTCAACGAAAGGAATTAATTTCTACCAACCATAGCCCTCCTCCTCGACCTCTTATCGGAATCGAGTATATTCCCTTATACGTATACCTCAAGAACGGATTGTCGGAAGAGGGTACTCACAAAGGGCGATCGAGAAGTCTGCAAGAAATATATCCATTGGTGATGTCAAAACAAAAGCTATTTCGGTTTAAAAAAATGCGCTTTATCTGCACAGGAGTTGTGCACAATTTATACTTGTTTAATTTAAAGACGCATTAAAGCTTCTGTTGCTCCGTAACACCTCAGATACACTAACGGTCTACTTTCCAAGACCCAATACGCACGAGTATTATAGATTTACTCTGCCGGGATTATTGTTTGCCACTTTTCTGCAGGCACATTAAAATCTTTTTTATCAAAAATGATTGAGGCGGCTTTATTGATAGTATTATATGAAAATTCATTCACCTCGTTTATTTCCCCTTCAGGTTTGTTTGAATGTATACCGAAATGATATTGAAGTTTATCTTTAGATCCATCACGCATTTAATTTGCACCATCAATATAAACATCGAGATTCCTTTAACCATTGGATAAATTATTCAATGCTTCATACGTACAATTTCCCTATGTATCCCTTTAAATGGGCTACATCAAAGCATTATAAATGTTATATCGAATTTTAGGCAATTTAAACAACAGCTACTGGTCAATGACACTCGAACATTTGGTGCTTATTTTAGTGCAATCTTTGAGTTAAGCACGAGTACACATACAAAAGGTATAATAAATGAAACTTCATTCAACACAAACACGAAATATTAAATACATTCATCACTTTAATCCTGGTTTCCACAAGTTGGCGGGTGCTGTTAAACAGTGGTATCCTTTAGTTATCGTTTATTTAGTCTTCTCACGCCAACGTAGGTACACTTCTTAAACCACTTGCATTCTTTTTTTGTGGATATTATAACATTTATGAACAATTTTGCATTCAAAATGTCCAACTCCAAATAAAATGTTTAAAAAAAAGTTGGCTTTGTTAATAGACGTTATTGGTTATTTAGTTATCTAAATTCTCTAATGCCAGTAAATTGATGTAGTCCATTGTAAGGGATACAATAAGGAAATTGTATACGTGTGTACCTATCCCATTTGTAAAATATTCACCCATTAATACTATGGTATTCACAAGTTTTGATTTAGGTATGTACACATGGTACCTACACATTCTTTAACAAAATGGGTTTTTTGGATGCATTTAAGTGTCCTGTAACGGCTTAGTTACATTAACCACACAAATAAACGTGAACATCTACGGCGCTGGCAAAAATTGTAATGTGACAATTACGTTTTTAATTTGCCCACGGCTAAGTCTGTAATAAAAATGTTTTTTATACCCCTTACCTTGCGGAAGTGGTGCCTCTTATCTCCTCTTAAAATCTGAAATTCAAAATCTAATACTCGGGTTCTTGCTCTGGTTTGATTAGATTCATTGAATACACAATGTCAACTTAGTTGATTTAATATATTAATAAAAACAAAGGTGATCAATTTCAATTCTTCTTCAGATGTAAAGAATGGTATTACTGAAATTAAATCCAAAACTCCCAATCAATGGAAGAAAATAACCCAAATGCTTTGTTTGCATTTGGTCCTTAGCAATAGATACAATGCAAAATCTGTTTCATGCACATACTTCTCATACCGGGTGGTGCCTAGCGCGACGCAGCATAGGGATTTCAATGGTAATTTCTTTATAGTCAATTAGTAGCTCCCCTAATATTATTTTAGAGCAAAAGTCTAAATACGTTTTTTTAGAGAAAAAAATCCTGCATCTGTTCACACTTTTAGTTATAATTTTCCATTTTTCAAAACCGTAGAAATCGACAAAATAAAAAGGTTCATTTTACAATTAATCAAATATTCCTTGGAATTACCTAAAAAAACAGCGATCACGTTTCATTATTTGCCTTTGACGTATATTAAATTTATACGTGTTTATAAATTTGTTAAAGAACTGCAAGTGTAATAACGTCCAAATGTCCGTCAAAACCATCAGGAAAACCACAATACATTCAACGTTTTGGCTGCAGTAGCGAAAATCCGAATATAAGTTTAGGAACAGATCTTCTTCAAATCAGTTTTTTTCTTCGATTATGTAGGTACTCTGATTCCGTAAAATGATAAACAAATAGTATCTGATGCAGAGGCAGCATACATTCTCTAAAAAAAACATTACCCTAAGATGCCTTTTATTGCGTCGGTTAGTTGTAACAGAATTAAATATGAAAATCGTTCGACGTCAAACAACGATAACTTAGATGCGATGCGCTTGTAGTTTGTTAAAAGATTCCAAAGCACCACTGATTTATAAAAATGTAATATTTTATTTTGTCGATTTGTACGGTTTTGAAAAATGAAAAATTATAACTAAAAGTATGAACAGATGCAGTATTTTTTTCTCTAAAAAAACTTATTTAGACTTTTGCTCTAAAATAATTAGGGGAGCTAGTAATTGACTATAAAGAAATTACCATTGAAATCCCTATGCTGCGTTGCGCTAGGCACCACCCTGTATACCGATTTCTTCAGGAATATCAAAATAAATGCTGCTTCCTTTGGTAATATGGAAATAGATCGCTTCTGTATGGTACAACTGAGTCCATAATTAATATAAAACAAAAATGTACCTGGGTATTGCGACTCCGAACAATAAACCGGCGTTAAATCCGAGGAAGTAATAGTCGAGATCGTAATTAGCTAACACTCCGCCCATTAAAAAATAAAGACAATAAAATAAAAAATAAATAAAAATAAAAATGCCAAATTTTGCACTGTGTTAATTTTGCATAAAATATTATTTATCGCACAAGACGCTGTCCGAATGAGTCACCCAACTCTGAGAAACGTACTTTTAACCGTCCGCTACTGTTAATCGGGACGAGTGTTAATGTCAACTAATTGAAATATCGTCATAAGGTGTAACACTTGCTGTCGAAACGGATTGGTTTATTACCGCATATTTTTAGTTGATCGCCAGTACGCATATCTTCACTCGATGTAATGTTGTGTGCTCAACCAGTTGACTCAAATTTAGGCACTACAGTTTTAAATGCGGTTGCTTATAGACGCTTACAACGACCAAAAATATCCACAACTTTACAAAATGTAGTTTTACCAAAGCGCTCATTTTAGTAATGGACTTGAATAATTTTAATACTGTTTACAAGAAATATGGCGTTCATTATCGTGAAAAAAACAAATGCCATCAATCATTTTAACCAAATACAAGCCTAATGATATAAACATAGTTCCTGTGGACATTTTTGATTATTGTGCTTATTACATGTAGCAAGCCAAATACCCGAAAATTCAAATCATTTCTTTAGTACTCGAAGTAAATTACCTAAATTCATTTTTTGATCTCAGTAAATGTCAAGTACTTCAGTACATCATTGTTATGGGTTAAAAAATACTCTACTTTTATAATAACGATTGTCTGATCGCTTTCATGAATGCGAGTGGGAATGCGAGTGGTACTCTGTTACACACAAATTTACCTTTATATTTGGGCTTTTTATTACTACAATCAATTTATATGCACCTGCATGCGTAGATATACAAGCTATGTTCATTGTATCTTACGCATGGCTAAATTCGCAGCATCCGCCATGCTATTACTTGCTTGTATCAATTTGGATAAAATGGCTTGCGCATCCTTGTTACCAGTTACCGCAGTGTCAAGCATCGCCACGGACTTACGTATGGTGGGTTCCATTTGTTTAACTGAAAACAAACCAAAGTACAAACAGATCTTCCTATTAATGGTTACCTACATAATTGGTCACTGTTGTTATTGCTGGCGGGACGAGTTGATACAAGTGACGCCCTTAAAATAAGTATGAAAATGATTACTACGCTTGTTCTACTCCACTCCATGTTTTAAATAAAACTAAACGCGAACTCCGCATGGATCCACTTATATCGTATAACTATGCCTTTATACTTAAATATAATGTTATCGGTTCAATTAGTGTAGCTGTAGCTTGTAGTACCCTATTTCGATAAATACCTGTCTCATTATGCACAATGACTCATATATTATCGCAAAACTCGCTAAGTGACTAATTCTCAAATGATAGTATAGTCATTGAATAAGCACATGCTTGATGACCAACGACGGATGCTACTTTTCTGCGAAAAACTACGTCGAAAATACATAATGAAGAGATTTCTAGAATACATACAAAAGTTTACACTTCTGTTCTGTTCTGATAGGTCATGCGTCTTTTTAACAATTTTCATCAGTAAGATTGTGAGATTGAAGGCTTACGATGAGCATGCTTCAATTAAGTATAATTTACTCCCTCTAATAGTTTATGAGCTTGTCCCATCGTGTCCTGTTTAAAAATTGTACCACGGTTCGAGCATGTGTTTAGCGGTACACTCCATGCCTGACACCTCAAACTTGAAGCATATCTAATTAAAAAATTCTGGATAAAACTAGTTTAAATTTCTCTATTCTGGAGGAATTTTCGCGTACTATCAATTGGTCACTCATAAATTTTTTAGAAAGCAAGCGCTTCTTGGTTTAATCTTCGTGCTCAGGCAATAATACTAGGCTTCTCTATTTTGGTATATAATAAACGACTATTATTATTATTATTATATAATGTACTATTACATAGAATCACATAAAATATCAATAATATCAACCCCTAACCGTATAGGGCCAATTGCATCATCAAAATTAAGTATCCCTTAAAGTTAACCATAACTTAAATACCATAGCAACGTTTGTATTAATAATCGTTGCCATAGATTTTAAGTTCGGCAAGGTTTAATTTTGTTGATGCAACTGGGGCATAACGACTTAAACAGAAATTTTGAAAAATCTTGAATAGCTTGAAAACCTTTGATGCTGGGTGTAAGGAAATGTGGTATCAAGCGACGTAGATCTTCATGTATAGATGCCGGAAATACAATGTAGGGTGTTCTATTTAAAATAAGAAAGTCGGTAAAGCTGGAAGTGACACAATGATGATAATATTTTCTTTCGATAGATCATGGAAAACTATTTAGTATACACATTTTCAGATTTCAATTATTAATGGGAGTCTGAATACTTTTTTGTAATTTCGTTATCAAATACTTAAATTTAGTTGCCGTTTTCAGTTTTATAAACAGCCGTCATTTAGACACAAGTGTCACATTTTGACACATTGGCGCACGTGCGCCAATCTAAATTGGCGCACTGGTACATTAGTCCCAAACTACCTACACGACTCTCAATAATCGCCTCAACTACTCAATTTTTATTTTTTCTTTTACTTACAATTCAACGCAATCGATTATACGAAATTTTCAAGTTTCAATTTGTTTTACAAGAAACACTGTTTAATTTCGGAAGAACAGTCCCCCCCCCCCCCTCGAACCTGCCGAGTGGGCCGATAGATACATTTCACGGTCCGGTTTATGGTTCCCCATCCATCCCTTAGAGGGACAATAAATAAATAAATAAAATATTTATATTTTCAAAAAGACTTTCTAGTCTATGGCACTAACCTTGGGTAATCTTAGGTGCAAACTCTTGAGCCTCAACTGACAACTGACGAAGAGGATCACACAAATTATTATATCCTAAGGCTAATCCGCATCTGGCTGTGGTAGGGTAATGTATGAGTTAGCAAGCAAGAAAAATGAACTATATAAACGTTAATTTTAATGAAAACACATAATAATGACGATAAAGCGTACAACATTATTACGTAGATTAATTATTATCTTACGTCAAGTTATGTCAATTAAGACGCAAGCGTAATTATATGAGAAAATCAAGACAGATGTAATCACATTAGCCGTTATAAAGTTTAACCTAACGCGCATTATGTTCGTAATTTACTTAAAATCAAACGGGATGAAAGCTGCGAACCCCCCGTCGTTGTAAGAACTAACCCTTATACGCGAATAAAGCTTTTGATCTTATCGCGTCGCCTATATAGAACAACATTAAAGGTTTACAATACTAGGTAAATTTGCTTTACTGCATCTTACTATGTTTCATCGTTCTCCTTACTGAAACTTTAAGGACTCGTAAACTTTCAACTGCGGTTAATGACCTTGTGAAAGCAAGATTATTATTACCTTCTGTACGTATTTTCAAAGTTAATCGTAGAGAAACATGTTAACACAACGCTAATTTGGTATAAGGGTTGGGATAAAAGTTTATTTTAAATCCGACATTGGATGATTACGCATAACGGAAAATGCAACGAACAACGGCCAAGACATTCGATTAGCCTAATGTATAACGTTTTTTACAAGCTTCCTTTCTTGTGGATTTACAGTATCACCGCTACATTGATTGATTGAGGATGACAAAAGCTGACGCAATCCAATTCTTGAGGCTGTAATGATGAGAAATGCCCATATGGTTTACTTTAAAAAATGAGCCCCTCTTTTCCTGTCGGCCGATACAAAAAAGGTAACTAAAGTGAAGGTGAAGTTTTTTTATCAATTATCATCATTTATTTGTGAATTTGTATTCGCATCTAAGTTATCGTTGTTTGACGTGGAACGATTTTCATATTTAATTCTACCCATGCAGTAAAAGGCATCTTAGGGTAATGTTTTTTTAGAGAATGTATGCTGCATCTGCATCAGATACGATTTGTTTATCATTTTCCGAACCAAAGTATCTACTTAATCGAGGAAAAAAAACTGATTTGAAGAAAATTTGTTCTTAAACTTATATTCGGATTTTCCGTTACTGCAATCAAAACGTTGAATGTATTGTCATTTTCCTGATGGTTTTGAGGGACATTTTGAACGTTATTGCACTTGCAGTTCTTTAACTAATTTATAAACAAGTATAAATTTAATAAACGTCAAAGGCAAATAATGAAACGTGATCGCTGTTTTTTTAGGAAATTCCAAGGCATATTTGATTTATTGTAAAATGAACCTTTTTATTTTGTCGATTTCTACGGTTTTGAATTAATAGTATGAACAGATGCAGTATTTTTTTCTCTAAAAGAAACATATTTAGACTTTTGCTCTAAAATAATTAGGGGAGCTAGTATTTGACTACAAAGAAATTACCATTGAAATCCTTATGCTGCGTCGCGCTAGGCACCACCCGGTATGTACTATGAAATTTCATTTAATTGCTTCCATAAATATGAAAGTTGGCACTGCACATCCTACACAAAACCAAATTTGGAAAATGGCGCTACATTTGCTTTTATTCCAAGTGGCTATGTATCAAATTTCATTTAAATACCTTCATAAATAAGAAAGTTGGAAATGCGCATTCGCAAAACCAAATTTTGAAACTGGCGCTATATTTGCTGTTATTCCAAGTGGTTATGTAACTCCGTAATTTTTGGTATCTTCGTACCTACACAGTTATTCAGTATGTAATCATTTCAGCCCTGTGATGCATCAAAAACGTCAAACTTGCAGGTTATCTACCCAAAAAAACGTTATTTTGCGTTATTTAGGCAAAATGACGTTTTTGACAAATAACCTGCACCTGCACGTTAAGTTTAACGTTAGTGATACATCACAGGGCTAATTGTTGTGTCAGATATAAAACGTAAAACTATACTACAAACATTACTGTCGAAGGTGTAACCAACAACACCTTAAATACTCCCGACGCACCCAAATGGCCTACATGCGTTTAATTATAGCTAAGCAGTAATGAATGTAACGGATTGTTATCCCTGCAAACTACACCCTTGGGGTGGCTAGTTGTAACCACTACCTAGTAAACTTAAATATGCTAACGATTTGTCTATTTGTGTTAATTTAACGCCATGCATGAGCATAATGGAACCGCTAATTTTTACTACTTACTGCATCTTGGGTTCGCAAGCAAAAATTTAAATTCAGAGGGTTAAAATGTTCTCAAACAGCGTGATTGGATTTTGTCTAGATCCTCACAGGCAATAAAAGCTAAAAAACTATCGGGATTGATATACGTCCAAGTTGGAAAAGTTAGTGGTACTCAGCCATAGTATAAATGAATTTCCAAGTTAAAAACTTTAATCCTAACAAATTTTCCCTACTGTCGCGAATGTAATTGCTTTCAACCGTATGGTTTGTCCATAATTCGTCCTAAATATTTCTAGTAAATACGTGTAAGGATAATTTCATATATAATTTAACGAAAAAATTAGTTGTTTGTTAATCAAATAAAACCGTTGCACTTTTCAAAATGATGCAATTGAAAAGCGACAAGAGAAAAATGGCAAAGTTACTTTATGAAATAGGCCCCTGATAGGCTTTTAATTTCCTGTCTAATCGTCTTTTTCAGGAATTAAGTAATTGTTACTACATACTATCATTTGAGGTTACGCGGAGGAGAAGATTTATCAGATGGTACGAGCTTTGACATTTCTTCCCTTATTTTTTTCCTTATTTCAGGTGCAAGTTCCTGATTTGTATTATGCATGTTAGATGATGGTGGGGGCAGACAGATGCCAGAGTTTTTGCATGCGCCGAAGCCTGATCACCTACCATCGACGCCGAGTAGCCGCTTTATGGCAGTCCGGGGAGACCTACCCCCCTACCCGCTTCGCCTCGCTCCCGACCGGCACTGTGGACGCCTGCACTGTATAATTCGTTTTCCAAAAACCTGAAACCATTACAAAGTCGTCAACAATTACGTTTTACTACCGCCAGCTTTAATCAACTATAACGTGGAGTTTGGAGTTTTTACGATCTTCACTACGGGAATGGACCAATCATGCCCCCCAACTCACAGTGCATTTGCCAACAAATTAGGGGGCTCTATTGGAGCTACGTTTTCTGTCCGTTCCTCCGTCCGTCCGAGACCTTAACTATTGCTACAGTTTTCAATATTTTAGCTCGTTCTTTTTGAATTCTGTAGCTTATACCTATGGTACCTAAGCCAAGAAAAATCTTGACGATTAATGTGCCCATGCGCAGGGTGCGCAATATCAAGTTTCTTATTTACT